ACCACATATTTTGTTAGTTCGTTGGGTCATTTTAAAGGTCCGCAGGGACCTGACTAAGACGGGTGGGGACCTTTAAAATCGGGCCACGCCCACCCCAGGTTATCTAATGCCAGCCGTGCGGTTGGGAGGGGAAGAAGTTAGTTTAGCCAAGCCCACCTTTCGGGTTATCTGTGGCTGGCTGGGGAATAGGCAGGGAGTTATCCTGCTGGCTGGGAGTTAGCTCAGAGGCCTTCGGGAGTGGATAAAAGCTTCTGCAACGAGGAGGCTTCTTTTGTGCAAGGGCAGTATCTCCTTCTAAAGTGGAATACTGATCTCATCTCCGACCTATCTCTTTAACTGTCTACCTATTTAAGAATTAACTACCTCCCATCTTCCCACAATTCCAGTTTGTATCAGAAATAGATGCAAAAGTTGCAGTCCACTCCATACATAGCTGTTTTGTTTAAATAAGAAAAACAGTAGTTTAATCACCACGGAAAGGCAAATTCTTGTCTTTCAGGAAGACACAGAAATGAGCGTGTATTAGGAACTTTAGTCACTTGGTGCGTGGGGACAAGGCAGATGCAGTGACCAGCTAAAGGAGCCATTCAACAGCTCACATTTTTACAGAGCTAAAGAATTGAATTGCAAGCGGGGGAAACTGGTTTTTCCACAGGAGGAAGAAGTCAACCTAAGTGCTCCCCAGACTGGGCAGTTTGCACAGTCATCAGCTTAGAGCGAGGGGCCAACCCAGAAGACTAAGCAAGGGAAGGGTGCTTGCCACCAAGCCTGACACGGGAGTCCTGTCCCCCAGATCCCACCTACTGGAAGGCCAGAGCATACTCCTGCAGGCTGTCCTCACATCTCCATACCCACACGCGGCATGTACACGCCCCTCCTATAAATAAACAAACATATCGCATTTTTTTTTTAATCGCGAAGAGGCCCCAAACAGTAAATGTTACTTGGTGCAGACATTTCGGACAGTGCCAGGGAGCAAAATCCCTTGTATCAGAACATTTAAATAGTTATCTGATATTTTTTCCCCCAGTAAGGTTCCACGCTTCTGAGATTTTCCAAATGTCATCCCTTATTGAACACAACAGGTTTTGGTGATCTGCAGGATTTTTCCACATAGAAGCAAACACAATTACAAGAGTCTGTGGGGAAAACGCAGGGGACGGATGCTGGGGGAGATGATCTGGAGTGGTGTTTGAGAGCTTTGGGTTCCAGGCGATCCTTGTCACACAATAGCCGTGGGATCCTTCTCGGACCTCCATTTCTTCCTTTGAATAATATAGTGTTGAGCGGAATTCCAGAAGCTTCCCTGTATCCCAAGGCGCTACACCTAGGAACAGGTTTCCTTTGTGAAGGCTAGGATTCCTTAAGTGGTCTCCTTTAGTTATGCAAATATGCCGGAGGAGGCAGCCCAGCTCCGGGCAACTGTGGGGCGGCCTTTTGCCCCCTTTCAAGTCCCCTTTGAATTCAGAGCTGGTAACGGAGGACAGAAACTTCTTGCTGTTGAAACCTTCTGTCCTTGGTAAGGAAACCCTTCCCCCAACACACACACTCCTATTGCTATCCCAAATCAGTTTGGGAACTGACTAAAATCTATTGCCATTAAAAGCCTAAAGTGGCTACTGTATGAAGCAGTTTATGCAATTCACCCGGGAACCCCCGTACCCAGGTCCTCAGCATCCAACTGCTCTTTGGCGCAGGATGGCTGCAGCGGTGTGAAAGAGACTGATACTTAAATGCCTGAAGCGCAGGTTTCACTGCAGCCTGCGTGGCCTGTGAAGCCCCCTACTGCGCAGGCCCGCTCAGCAGCGCCCCTGTGTGGAGCGACAGCGAGCTGCTGCAATTGCCTGTTGAGACTTTGCAAAGGAAATTTGGGAGTAAGGTCCACGAGGGCGCTTGGATCCCCGACAAGGGTATATAAGAGTTTTACATCGGAATGTAAACCGATTTTACTAAAGCCAAAGTCACAGATTGTATATAAGCACAATGTTCCCAGCTCCAGGCATATTGACTGGGACTTCACAATTATTACCATTACTACTAATGCCCACCCAGAAAAAGATAGTAAACACTGGTCCTTTGTCGCGCTGAACTAAAGGACATGGAGGGTAGAGCCCTCCTCTCCTGAAGTAAACCATAAAGGTTAGAAAGGCGGTTCTGTTCCCTTCCGTGGGGGACTCGCCAGAGGGTCCTAACCTGTGGCTGGGAACGGGAGCGCTAACCAGATGGGCCTTGCTGGGTCTCTCCGCTCGGTCTACTCCCATGAGGTCGTCAAAACAGTCTTTCCTGGTTTTCCAGTCAGTATTTCTGGAGCCCGCCCCCCTTAAGAAACTTTCTGATCATTTAAAAACTTTAAGTAGACGGGAGAGACAGTTCGGTGGGTAGAGTGCTTGTCTAAGCATGCAGGAAGCCCTGGCTTCAGCCCTCAGCACCGTACAAACTTGGCATGGAAAGCACGTACCTGTTAAAGGGTTAATTACCTAAAAGCCTCGGGCGGGGCGGGGGGTACTATGAACCACTGAGAAACTTGGACTGGACGGGACCGGAGAGTTGACTAACACCCGTGGAAGCTTCCGGTAAGGAAATCCATGCGCGCCAACCTGGGGGCTGCCCTGCAGATGGGCTCTTCCATCCCAGTTCCCCCTTTCATATCCACCAAGACCCCCAAGCATGTCCTCACGGTCTCACTTCCCGAGAGACTGTAGCCTTTCTGATTAAAGAACGATTCTGCTTCAGGAGATGCCTGTTGGCTTCCTTGATTACCACATTGCCTCCATCGGTCCCTATCTCACACCTGTAATCCCCGCCGCCTCCGGTGGCTACCCTGGCAAATCACGGTGAGTCCGCGTCCAGCCCGGGGTACGAGACTTTCAGGAAGGAACCTTTAGGTAAACTGTTAGACTTTTCTTGTTGTCTCTTGTTATGCAACCGTGGTGATGGGACACACCTCTCTACTAGGAAAACAAGACTTTAGTGAAAGTGCCTGAATCTTCCAGAATAACCTTTATCTTTATGCCTGTTTCCCAGTGACCAGCAATAAACGTGTCTTTAGGGACAATCTGGATGGAGAAGGCTGGGGACTCACACACTCACCAGGCAAACTGTAAAAAGCCAATGGCAACAGAGCAAAATGGCTGTAGGGGCTGCTGCAGGCTGGGCTCTCCGAACATCTCAGAATAAAGTTTTGGGACCATATTCCTATCCTGTTGGTGGGGCGGGATCTGAACCTTCATCGGCCTGATGCGTTCTTAAGAGTTCAGAGCCTGCAGAGAGCACCCTAAGGAGACACATGGGGCCACCTAAGACAGACCGTGTGATGCTAGGTGGATCCTGGTTGGTTGGTTGGTTCTTTCTCAGCAGATTCAAACAGTGATGCAGAGTCTACACATAGCCTTGGGCTAAGAAGGACAACCATTCATTCTCAGAAGTAGGGTAAAGGCAGTCTCCAGAGAATATGCCTGAGCCTGAGCCAGAGCTCATCAGTGAACAGCGTGAGCCTCTGCTCAGCCCCTGACCAGTTGGGACTGGATCCTTTCTAAAATCCCTTTCTCTTGCATGGAGGGCCGGACACTGACCAGTCAAGACTGGACAGTACTTGTTTTGGTTCTGAATCCCTTCCTTCTATCAGATAACCAGGATGGGAACTCCTGGAGGGGGTTTTCTTATAAAAGTAGCTCTTTTTCTTTGGTCCAGGAGCCACTGGCCTGCCCTGCTCCTGATTGGAGCTGTCGTGGATGTCCTAAGAAGCCTTGCCTGGGTAGCCCTGGGTCTGGTGTGTTTCTATCCCTTCTGGACCCAAGAATGGGACTGGTTAACAAACTCAGCAGGGCCCCTCCTCCCTTATTTCCCCCACAGTGTTCACTCCTTTACCACAAAGGTCCTCCGGTCCTTTAAGCCACAGATACAAGGCCGGGTGAGTTAGTGCTAGGGTTGGGGAATGTGAGGATCTCCCTTCCCCCTTAGGTCTTCCTCAGCCTCCCACCTGCCTGCACAGCCCTGGGCTCAAGTGAGGAAGCCTAGCCAGAGGCAAAGCCTCACACTCAGGCTGTGCAAGGATCAGAAGCCCTCAAGACCCACGGTGTGGGCAGGCTACTTCCACTTAAGAGTTCCCAGGCTACAGGACCCAGAGACAAAGTAAACCAATGTGCAGGGGCCTCAGAACTACTGATCTCTGTTGCCCCACTCAGGGTCAACTCAAGACAACTATAAAACCGCTAAGGCCTGAGACTCAGGCCTGCTTGGCACCTAGCTGCATAACCTCGCCTTTGATTAAACCATGCCTCTGCCTGGCCCTTAGATGTGGCTACACACATAACCCCTGAGCCTCCACCCGGTCCTTCTACGTCTGTCTCCCACTGTCTGTCTGTGTTGGGGATAGGTGGGTGTCTGGGAACTTTGAAATAAGAGGTGCTCATGGCTCTACCTCCTGTGAGTCCTGGCTCCACAAAAGGGCCCCGCAGTGTTGCAATCTCAAAGTTCTTAATTTCTGGGAACCAGGCACCCATTTTGCAATGAGGTCTGCACATAATGTAGCCAGTTGACAAGGCGAGGGATAGGAAGACCTGTGCTAGGGAGAAATGGCAGCAGCCTTGTCTTTGTCCCTGGATCTGGGTAGCTGGGCCCATGGTGGAACTCCGTGAGCTGGACGCAGTACTGTCTTAGGAGATCCTGTCTTGGCAGTAGCTGCTCTCCCTCCCCTGGAGGCAGCAGCTTGGGTCCCCCACAAGGCAGTTCTTGCTCTACCCAAGCCTACTTCAATGCTCCCAGCTGGCTGGACAGGACACAGGATACCAGGAAGCCTGCTAGATTCTGCATACTCTGCGTAAGGCCACCCATGAGAACCCGAGCCTTGGGCCTCAGTTGCCCATGTGGTAGCCTGAAGCAGCCGAGTGCTATAGCTTCAGGCTTTGTTCATGCCCACAGCTCTCCCCTTCCTCTAAGGTCCCTCTAGAGGTCTTCTACGCCTGCTAGCCAAGACCAAGGAACCAGCTAGCTCAGACACCTTCAGCAACCAGTTCAGTTTTATTGAGAAACTAATGATGCCTCCATCTTTTCCAGGTGACCCCAGCCCGAGGCGGGAGGTAGCATTCTTTCACAGGGGAAATCATCTGTGTAGGCCCCAGAGAAGTAGGGGTATCAGTGGGGAGAGCTCAGAGTGGTACCAGAAGGCAAGGGATGATGGTAAGGATGCTAGACGGTGAGTGGGCTGCTGAAGGAGAGTGCAGAGAGGAAGAGGGCCTACCACCTCCCAAGGCCTGGAGTTGTCGCCTTCCAACTCTTCATAAATAAAACTTCACAGTACTAGGGGAATATCAACATCTAGGGCCAAACAGGCCAGTTTCTGGCCAGGGTGTCAGTGTCGGTGAGCTGCAGGGGTGAAACCTGGCTTGGGCTGTGGTCAGGTATCACTGTGCCTTGGGGGGCCAGGAGCACTGCTCTTTAGCCCTGTGTCAGGATGTAGGGTGGGCTGTAGCCCACAGTGAGGTTTACAGGAGTGCTGAGGTAGTCAGAGTGGCCGGCCAGTCAGGCTTCTGGATGAGAGAAGACAGAGCCAGGGGCCATGCCTTTGGAGCAGACTCTAGGGAAGCCTGGGTTGTGCTGAAAGTCTATGGGGCTTGGCTTTTGGGAGATCCAGGGGTGTGGATGAGGGGACACCTGTGGACCTGCACAGGGCTGAGCTCCTACAAAGGCTGCCTGGCCTTCAGGGAGTCAGAGGCACTTCACAGGAAGAGAGTCCCCTGTGATGACAAGAGGCAGCCACAGTTCCACCGGGGCCAGGCCTAGCCCAGGTACCTGAGCAAATGTCCCTGCAGAGGCCACCAGGACCTCCCTACCAGGATAGAGGGGCCAGGCTACAGGCTTAGGCTAGAAGAATTCAGATGACCTTCAGTCAGGGAAGTTCCAGCTGGGCCTCGCTCTCTGGGAATTGCTGGGAGTTCCTCTCTGGCTATCTGTACCACACCACACCCAGGAGCACAGAAGGCCCAGACCCTTCACCTCCCACATGAGACCAAAGACTATGCCATGCACCGTAGCTCCAGCCCCAGGGCCCCAAGGACTTGAGGGCAAAAGTGCTGGCGGCCGGGCAACGTCAGAGCACCTGGAACTTGAGGGAACAGGTGAGATTGCTATGCACCAGATCCCACATAGCCAGCAGCTCAGCAGGCAGCAGCTTGTGTACCACAAGCATGGCCCGATAGAAGCAGGGCTCCTTGTTCATCCGGCTGCCTCGGACCCGAGAGATGCCGAAGGTCTTAAAGCCCTCGTGGCCTGTGGGCTGCACCCCCAACACCTCCAAACACATGCCCAGGAAAACGTCATCAATAGGAAAGAGTTCCAGTGTGTCACAGGCATGGTGGAGATGCCGCGCTAGGTTACCAGACATGAGGAAGCCCCCACCGCCAGCATAGGGTGGGTAGGTGGACTTGCTGTACATGACAGAGGGGATGTAGTACTTGTTCTCTTTTTTGCGGATGGGCCGAGCGTGCTTCAGGACATCCCCTACAAATAGGTTTTCTTGGGGCTGCCGGTCAGACAGAAACTCAAGCAGGTTGGTGGGGTTGACAAAGACATCATCATCACCTTTGAAGATGAAGGGGACATTGGGACAATAAATGTCAAGCCACTTAAGGAAATGGATCTCCTTGAGGGTCAGGTTGAAGAAGCTGTCAAGGAAGTCCCACTGTAGGATGTCACCGTAGAGACGGTCCTCGTAGGCCAGCAGCTGCTGATAGTGGGTCCGCTCTTCTTGCTTGGAGGCTGTGCCCAGCAGGAAGAGGGTGCGCACAGCACCCCTGCCCTGCCCTGCCGACTCCCACTCCTGTCCCCAGGTCTGTCGGATGACCTCACGGCGGTCGTGCTGTGTTATGATTGACTTGACGACCACCAACAGATAGATGTCACCTTCACACTTCTCTGGGTGGTTCAGCAGCATGGGAAAATAGCGGCAATGGCGATAGGACAGAAACTGCCGGAAATGGGGCTCAAGATTGTGGAACCAGGGCTGATGGGTCATGTTGATGTTGACAGAACAATTAGTGGTAATCACATCCCAGGCCTGGGGTCCCCGAGGGGCTGAGGGGGTGGGAGCCACTACATCTTTTGAACTCTTCCAGAAGTTGTTGGGGTTGACCACATTTCCAGTTTTGGGTGGCCCCAGCGTGGGTGGTAGAGGATCCTGCAGAAATTGGCCAGGGGTCACACTGCGCTGGAATACGGTGACAGCCACAAGGAGGGCCAGGGCCAGGCATGCACTCTTGTAGAGGGTTCTCTTCCTAGGGGGAGCGGTAGAAAAGAGGGTGAGCAGGCACTCGGGAGGACTATGGCCACAGATGGGCCAGTGGACTCCACTCCCTGGAAGGTCAGAGAATCCTGGTTCCTTTCTCAAGCAACTTCCCAACTCAAGAAGCACTGAGAATCCAAAACCAGTGACTCTGGGAAGGGGGTCATTTAACTCCTCTAAGATATTTGTTCTCCCCCCCCAAAAGGGGGGACAGAACACAGGACAAAGTACCAGGCTTGTACTCAGGGAAATGCTGTCACTTTATCAGGAAGCGAGACATCTGCCCATCCTCCTGTCGGCACCTCCCCTCCTGTTTTCATTTCTAGTTCAGATGTGGGTGTATGGACAGCATATCATCACCAGGTGACTTTGAACCAGTCAATTCGAGAGGCAAAGTCAGTGTCTTCACTGAAGTTTTGGGGAGTCTCTTGTGGAGTCAGTGTGGAGTAAGTTCTGGCTTAGTAACCCCCAACATAGCTGACTCAACAGAAATGACCCACTCTTAACGGAAGATGGGAGGCTTGGAAGCGGAGTGGACAGATGCCATCAAGACCCCTTGCCCCCATCTTAATATCCCACAAGAAGCAATGAGGTGCCCAGCCCTTCAGCCCTGGGAAAGAAGCCCACTCTCCAGGGACCCTCCCTGCCCAGGTAACCCCATCGCACCCTTTTCAGAAGCAGAAATCCTAGCTTTTCTCAGGAGTGCCCCGTTCCTCCAGAACTTCCCTGTTTAGCTCACTGGGGCAAAAAGCATGTCGGCTAGGTGGCCTTCCAGTTCCAGGGCTGGGGCAGCAGGTTGATGGCTCTTACCTCCAAGGCAGGAGGTACAAGAGCCAGGGAGCCATGAAGCAGGTAGAGATAACTAATCTCCGGGTAAAGTTCTCGGAGGCGCAGGGTGAGTAAAGATTGAGCCCCCCACCTCCATACAGCGAGATTTTTCCCAAGGGATCCATGAATTCTTGGCCACCAGGTTGGATGGAGAAAGACAGAAATCACTTAAGGTAGCCTGCTGGGTGGTGAGGTTGAACCCTTCTGGGAACCAGATCACAGGATCCCGGACCCAGTACTCCACTCCTTGGGGTTCCAAAGAAGCTGCAAACCCCAACTCCGGAGTCCTAGTAAGGACCAATCCCGGGCGGCGGCTGTGGGGAGGCCCCTCGCTCGCACGCACCAGTCCACTGCATTTGTAAGATCAAAGCTGGGAAAGGAGAGGGGTTGAGACGTACGGGAGAGGCCACAGGAGGCAGAGGAACCGGGGGCGTCTCCAGGGGGCAACTCTTGATGGGACCCCGGGGCCTCGAGACCCTGCATACGCCTGCCCGAGCCGCGGCCGGGGAGCCGAGCGTGCGTCCCGCATCTCCCACATCCCACCTGCCGCTCCCGCGCCGCCCCCGGCTCCGCATCTCCCGCCACCCCTGCTGCCCCGGGAAACTGAGGTCGGCCCCACGACATCCCGCGTGCATCCCTTGCGGTCTGCGGTTCCGAGAGGTGAAGCCCGGAGGTGCCCTGCGCCCCACAGGGACCCCGACTCACCACAGAGACATGGCGGCCCGGTCCGGGGCGGTTGAGCGGCGCGCACGGATCACTGCTCTGGCCGCTGCGGCTGGGGACGGCGGGACAGGGCCAGGCCGGGCCCCCGCTGAGACTTTCTTTTCCCAGAGGCTGGAGGAGGGGCCGCAGGGGCGGCGGCCCAGGTACGTTAACCCTTCGCGCCCCGGCTCGCCGTGGGGACAGCTACTACGCTTAAGCCAGGTCACCTCAGAGGCACGCCCCGCAGGATCGCGAGGGGAAGAGACGGAATCTCAGAGACCTTGAGGATCACCAACATCCTGAGGCGGTGACTTCCTCGCTGGGCCTTCTCGGGGTCGCTGCCTCTCCTCTCGGGGACACGTGGGGACGTCGGACGCCGCCCACCTCCACGCCCACTGGGCGCCTAGCGGCCTGGCCGCTTCCTTCTTGAGTAGTCTTGGGTGTGTAGAGAGGAGGGAGGTGGAAAAAGGCTGTTTTCCCCGATGCTTTCTTCTCTCTGCCCTATCTACTTTTCTGCTTCCCAGGCTCGCTCAGACCCTGCCGGCCATCTCAAGAGGAGATGATGCTACGAGAAGGCTGGTTTGCCGGACTCAGACCCAAGCCAGACTAGATCACCCAGGAAGGCTCTGGGCCCCCACTCTTTCTCCTCTACCACTCCCCAATAGAAGGCGCATTTGCCTCTGCAAAAACTCCGTTCTTTTGCTAGAGTGTTCGCACATGCTTTTAATCCCAGCAGGTGGATCTCTGTGAGTTTGAGGCCAGCCTGGTCTACTTGGTGAATTCCAGAGCAGCCAGGGCTCCCTGATGAGAGTGTCTCAAAACAAACAAAAACCTCCTCTCTTGTATTGCCAACAGATCTTTCACTTAACGCCCCCTTCACACACTTTTTTCCTTTTTGTTTTGTCTCCAGACCTTTATCACTCTGCAGTGTGTGCACCACTTTCTCTTGGGAGTGGGCGACGGACAGTCATCACTGGAGAGAGAGGGAGGGGGCATCTTGGCCCAGGCTCTGGGGTGATGATGTCTGGCTCTGCCACGGTCTGGACTGGAGGGAATTAACACTAAGATGAATATGCAAACCCAGGATGTCTGCGTGGCTCCGGAGGTGGTCCCTGAATCCTGACTCTGGCATTTCTTTCAGATTGTAGCAATGGGAACTATTTTTCTGTGTGTCCCCTCCCCCCAGGGAATACATGGGAGACCAGAACGTTCCAGTGAGTCCCAAGGGTGAAGATTCCTTTTGGCTTTCCCTTTGTGATCCTTGGGCTAGGGTATGTGCTTAAACATATGGCGGAATTTTCTGGAATGTTGCAAGCCCCAGTCAGAAAGGATGAAGGGCATTCTGGCCAGAATTTCAGAGGAGAATCTGGTACAATGCCCTCTTGAAGCTTCCAAGAGGCCCTGGCCTGAAGCCCAAGTCTCACTGGCCTGGCTGCCTGCCCCTAGGAGTCACTGCAGCCCCACTGGTCCATCACCAGTCTTCATCGTCCTGGTTTGGCGCTGGCTACCTACCCCATGTTCCTCCACCACCCAGGGTGCTGTGTTTTGTTTGAGTCAGGGTCTTGGCACGAAGTCCAGGCTGGCCTTGAACAGCAGATCATTTGCCTTAGCCTCCTGAACCGATGGGGTTGCAGGCAGTGCCCGGCTTTTGGGTTCTCTCTTCTTGTCCTCCCTATGCGTGTGGCTTTGAGGAGGAGTCTGTGCTGTGTCCCATCTCTTCACAAGGAACCCTGATGAAGAGCAACCCAATTGGCCTCCCACAGACCTCTCGGCCCAGAGTGGAGTTTTCCCAGGAGCACAGGTGTTTCTGGTAAGGGCTTGTGAACTCAGATTTGAGTGCCAGGGTTGAGTGTTGGGTCACTCCTGTGCACTTCCTGGCTGCTACTAGGGAGCAGGTGGCTTATCTTTTCCTGACCTCAATTTCCTGCCAGTGCAGAGTTATGTGAGGTGACACAGGGGAAGCAGGCTCCCAGTGTCCCCTACACTCAGAGGCTTAGGACAGGTGGACAGGTGGACTGCTTTTGATGTTTTGGTCACTAGTGTTTGACCAACCCCAGGGGGTCCTGGGACCACAAGGGAACATGGGGCAGCAACCAGGAGAGCTGTGCAAGGTTGACTTGGTGTTTTGCAGTTGAATCTGATCAATTGAGACAGTTTGTCCTAAAAGCCTAGGATGAATTCAGATTGGGGAAATGAGTGACTGTGTGTGTGTGTGTGTGTGTGTGTGTGTGTGTGTGTGTGTGTGCGCGCGCGCATGCCTGGCCAGGCTCTGGTCACTCTCCACTGTCCCCTCATCCTGTTCTCAGTGAGCTACATGAAGCTATCCCTACTCAGAAGCACAGTGACTCCACTGTTGGGCTCCCTTCATCTGACCCCCACCACCTGTCCAGCCATGAGGGCATAGCCGTAGCAGACAGCTGTGGATTGTCTCTGAGCAGCTGGAGTGGACTCTGCCACTGCCCCCCATGCTGTGGGTGAAAGCATAGTAGGAAGAGATGGCAGTTACAGGAAATGTTGATGTGGGTGGAAGAAGGGATTGGATAGGACCCCCTAAACCAGCAAGTCATTTTCTGTACTATTCTCTTACTGCCCAGAAGTGTGGCTCAGTGAGCTGGTACACAGAAGTACACTAAGAAATGTCCCTTTCTCCTCCCCTTTCTTCTCTTGATAACTCACTCTCCCCCAGCCCCCATCTTCTCTCCCCTTTCCTGTTGGATCTGCAGAGACTTCAGATGTGGGGAGACATTGACCCACTAGAAGGCATACTGTTGTTGCAGGATAATGTGGGGGTTGCCCTGGCTTAGAAAGAACTGGAGAGCAAAAAGTAAGGAGCCCTGGGCATCTTGGAGAGAGGCCACCGTGGGCAGAGACTTGGGACTGGGTTCCTAAGCCAAGCCAGCTGCTGTAACTTTAATTCAGCAGTGAGCTGTTGAAGGGCACGTGAATTAGTGTTAGTTAATGCTACACTCCAGGAGTAGCCACAGCTGGGGGCTGATGGGCCAGTGCTGGAAGGTCAGGGGTCATTTGCTGGTAGGAAGAGAGTTGCTGCAGGTGTGTTGCCTGTGAAGAAACACGGCATGACTCCTCTGCCTGGACCAGACCAGCTCTGTGGAGCACTACCCTGGGTCTGCAACTTTCTGTGATGGGTCCTCTGTGACTTCAGGGCTAGCGGTTGGTCTGGGTGACCTTGAGAATTGCCCTGACATGTTTTCCTGCCCAGATCTTGATAGGAGTTTGTCTAAGCTCAGAGCCACGGCAGGACGCTTGCTTTGTGTTTTGTGTAGAAGTTTGCAGTGGGTAAATTTGGGGTCGAGGCTTGATTTCTGATGAGGATGTGTGAGAGTGAAACCTGTGGTCCTTTGAGGCCATAGGTGTCCACTACAGGCAACCTGACACAGCTCAGGGTGGTGCGGAGGGGGCCAGATAGACACCACTCAAGTCAGCCCTGGAAGAGGACCAGCAGGTGAATTGTCTCCCTACAGTACTCCCCAGAGAATGGGGAGGTAGGATCTGGAGTCTGGGAAATACTTAGGGTTGAATAGAGGGGACATGTCTCCTTGGAGGCTGGCTCCCCTTTATTTTCCAATTTTAAATGTATACACACAGCCGGGCGTTGGTGGCGCACGCCTTTAATCCCAGTACTCGGGAGGCAGAGGCAGGCGGATCTCTGTGAGTTCGAGGCCAGCCTGGTGTACAAGAGCTAGTTCCAGGACAGCCTCCAAAGCCACAGAGAAACCCTGTCTCGAAAAAAAACAAACAAAAAAAATGTATACATACACACACACACAAACGAGCATGTAAGTATATGCGGTTATGTGTATGTATGTGTGTGATTATGTGTGTATGTTTGTGTGTGATTGTGTGTGTGAGTAGTCAGAAGACAACTTCCAGCAATCAGTTCTCTCCTTTCTTTTCTTTTCTTTCTTTTTTTTTTTTTTTTTGGTTTTTCGAGACAGGGTTTCTCTATGGCTTTGGAGGCTGTCCTGGAACTCGCTCGGTAGACCAGGCTGGCCTCGAACTCACAGAGATCCGCCTGCCTCTGCCTCCCGAGTGCTGGGATTAAAGGCGTGCGCCACCACCGCCCGGCTTCTCCTTTCTTCATGAGGTTGCCAGGGTTGGTACAAGTGTGGCGCCATCTTGCCTCCTAGGTCTTTTCTGTAAGCCAGGGGCCCAAGCAGGAGCAAGGAAAGATGGGAGGGGATGGGAAGCTGGAGAAAGGAGGGAGAGTCTTCGGAGTCTACTTAAACTCTTGGAAGTTCCTGCAGTCAAGATGTTGACAGCAGGCTGTGTCCTGTCCCGTCACTCCATAATGTTTATAGCAGTATTTTCCCGGCTGTGCATTGCCCCGAGAGACACTATTTTACAAGCAGCTTTTGACTCCATATTGAGTATAAATGCTTCTGTACACGAGATACAGACTGATAAAAAATGCATTCCTGTAAGAGGAAAGGACATTGTCCTATACATCTATCAAAGTAAATTGGGACCATGTGATAACACGGCACAAGGAAAACGAGGCCTGAGACCTTAAGGAACATGCCAGATGGAGGAAATGGTGCAGCACCATCATCTGGACCCCATGAAGAGCTGGGCCCTAACACCGCCATGCTATGGCCCCACTGGCCTGTCCGCTGACCTCGAATATGGCCGTGCACTGACAATTCCTGACTCTTTCAGGGCTTCTGCTTGGCTGGCTCCCTGCTATTGACATAGCCTACTTGAACTGCTGTCTTTCTGTCTGTTTCTTTGTCCATCTGTCCAGGACTGGCCTGATCCTCATTTATGTGGCTCAGCTCCCCTCTCGGCCCTCTGACCCGCACCTGACTCTATGGTGGCAGTATTCAGCAGTTTGGGGGGCTCCAGTCTGGTCCATTATCTCACCCCTCCACACCCACTCAGGTTCCCTTTGTGTCCTTATCAGCCCCTAGCTCAGGTCACTTTGAAACTCCTCCAGAGTTTTAGTTTCTATGAGTCCCAACCAGATTTAAATGGATGACGCCCTCTGAGGCCCCACCCCTGCCTCCCCATCTCCTCCTACTCTACTCTTTACTCTTCCTTGGCCTCTGACTCAAAGCAGGGGATCCAGCGATGCTGGGATCTCTTTAGCCTTAGTGACTATTTTGTAACTTACAACTATACCCATATACATAGATGGATTTATTATGATATGTAATGTGTTAATGTTAGCAATTAAGAATGGAATGCGAAGCCGGACATTGGTGGCAAACGCTTTTAATCCCAGCACTCCGGAGGCAGAGTCGGGTGGATCTCTGTGAGTTCAAGACCAGTCTGGTCTACAAGAGCTAGTTCCAGGACAGCCTCCAGAACAATACAGAGAAACCCTGTCTCCAAAAACCAAAAAGAAAAAAGAAAAAAAAAAAAAGAATGGAATGCAAGAATTTGTGCTTTCCTCAGCCAAGGCTATGGAGAAAAGTGGGACCAGTTGGTGAATTGCCATCAATGAGGCTTCTGTCCTTTGGAAATTTGTTATTGGATAAATTCTGACATTGTAGAAAGGCACAAACATGGCCCTCTATGTTTCTGACAAAGCATGCTCAGGACACAAGACTGGGCTCCAAAGAAATGCAGATCACAAGGAAATGAACCAGGAATGGAGTAAATCAGGCAACCTGTCCCAGCTACAGAAACACAGTGACCTTTGATTGTCCCATATTCAAGGAACTAAGTCTCATCCATCAAGGTGGTGACAGTGTTGAGTCACAGACAGGGATTTCACAGTACTGATCCCAAGACCAGGCAGAGGCGAGCTACCTGGGAGGCCTGAGAGAAAGCAGCTTTCATTTTCCCAGGCCACTCTGCTGTGAGGAAGCTCTGAAGCCCTGCTGTCAGCCCTGAGCAAAGGCCTAAAGAGGGACGCATCTTCATGGGGGCCTGGGGAGGAGGCAGACAGGGAAGTAGCTATGGAGGAAACTGGGTCCAGAGAGCAGAGGAAGTGCCATTTTCTAACTGCAGTAGGACGTGGTAGAGAAAGCAGAGGT